CTCCTGTCTGTGCTCCTGCACTCTGAAGGTGCCGGTTACAGGTGCTCGCGAAACGTTAGGAAACAAAACTTCCAGAACACGGCCACACAGCCCGGAAGGCCCACACCAGCCTTCACATACTTCGTTTCTAATCACTTTTGAAAATGGCTAGGAACCTTTGGATTGGCAAGTTTTACAGCAGTGGGTGAGTTTCCTTCAGTCCTTAGCGAAAGAAGTTTTAACTGTAAGTTTAAGAACTTTAAAAAAATTTATTTGGATTAACAGCAAAAGGGTGATTAAAACTTTGGTTTTAGAAAGTTACAAATGGATGAAGGATCAAGATAAATTTCAAATAAGATTTTGGAATTAATTATAAAGAATCCTTCCTGTGGGAAAATGCTTTTGTTTTGATTAAAAAAAAAAACATAATAAGTTAAGACTTTAAAAATTGGACATGAGAGGGAATGAGAAGGAACTAAAGATTATAATTAAAGGAGAAGAACACTCAAACTTGACTTAGAATTACAGAATGAAGCAAAATATTTTAACATTGGACATATTGAAGGATATTTTTGAACAATGGATCCAGAAGTTAATTTGGTCTGACAAGATCAAGACTGAGTTGAAAGTGGATTTAAAAATGACGACAAGATCAAGACTGAGTTGAAAGTGGATTTAAAAATGACGACAAGATCAAGACTGAGTTGAAAGTGGATTTAAAAATGACAGGCTACAAGAATGACATGGAAAAAGGTGTTAACACTGGACATGCAAAAGAAACCAGCTGATGTCTTAATAATTAAAAGGGATATACAGAAACAAAACAAGAAAGTGACCTGGATAATTTTCCTATACTACAAAAGAGGCTTGTTAAAGTTTTGAAGAATTTTGTGAGAAGGGACAAAAAAAAAATGAAAAGAAATCAAGTTCTACAATATTATTTGAAGGAACTAAAAATCAAGGTTTTTAGAAGTAAAAGGGAGGAATATAAAATTGGCTCATTTGAAATTTATCAACTCAATCATATAGTTACAGGGCTGTTCTAAGTTTTATAATACATATGTTTGTGACAGAGCAAATTTATACTATTCACGTAGCACGAATATTTGCACAGAGAAGGGGCTTTATGAAGTAATGTCTGAAGAAGTCTTGAAAATAACAGAGACTGTTTTATTAGTTGATTCTCCCCTAGAGTGTTTCTCCAGACACTTACCTCTCTGGGTTGTTACTGTTCAAGAGGTAGTCTCCTGTTTCCTTCAGCTTCTCAATTCGGGATTTAAATCCCTCTAGGTCAAGCTTGGTAGCTTCCATTTTATGTAGCAGTACTTGAGTTGATTCTTCATTTCTCCCATAATCTGTGATTTCTAGCAAAAGCCCCCTTTCTGCCATCCAGGATTCCACTTCCAAAAGCTGAAAGAAATGCAGTGATGATGGGACTTGCATGCGAAACAGATTCCAACATATAATCTACGGAAACAGAACTATATTCAACACAGACAGCAAACTAGGTGTGCTCTCAACTAGAGGTATGTGGATCAATGTAAATCCTAATCATGTCAGTACAGCATATATACGTGTGTTAATCCATTCTGTCAAGTATTCTATACATTACTTTTTAAAAATGCAAAAACTATGCAATTGCTGTACATAACTTTCCCAAAAGGAAAGGAAAGCCTTAAATTAAGGATATTTGCTGTTTAATAGTTCCTAACATTGCCAGTTCAAAGGTATTGTGCAACTATTCCATCTTTTACTCCATTACAGAATTGAAGGTGGGACGAAGCAAGAGGTAGAATAAAGACAGGAAAAGATGGAAGGATTACATATGGAAGATGCTGGCTAGATGCTGACTGGATTCCTCATAAAATTCCATGGAAGAGGAAGGGTAACTTCAGGAAAAAAAAAAGTCCTACATCACTCGGGTTCAGATGAGAAGTTTCAAACATTTCAGGAAGTTGAGTTTAATTCCATTCTCCCCCACCCCCAGTTCCAGAAATCTGATCCAAATTTCTTCTAAGAGAAGGAAAAAATTAAGAAAAATGGTCATGGATCTCATATAAATCTCATACTTTGGCCCTCAGAGAGTCAGACTTTTCCAAAAACAGGAAACGTTATATTACTCAAGTCTTTAATTATACATCCTGAAAATAGCAGGATTTAATTTCATAATAGCTAGGCAATAATATCCATTCAGACTCTAATAATGTATTTACTAAATTAATAGAAAACATCTGATCCTTCACATATGTGTATCTGAACACAAACAAGCAGGGGTTTGCTCACACCAAATGAGCAAATGATTTTGTTTGTCTAAATAGCTACCCACCAACCTATGGAAAGATGCTTCTGAATTGCAAGAATCCCCTGGAATAACATAGATGGGGTGGGGAGCAGGGCAGAAGAGAAGGACTGCATCAGGATAAAGACATCTAGTCAGTTCAGCCAAGTTGGTTTGGAAAAAAAGTTGCATCCTTCTTGGCAAAATAGTCATAGTTTCATGGATCTAAATGGTAAAAATTGAAAATGGCTTTCCATCACTACTTTACCTCACTGAGGAAATGCTGGGCTTCATGAGATTGTACAAGCCTCCATCTTCTTTCCTGAGCTTCATCCTTCAGATTTTCAAAGGAAATGGTCAATTCCTTTACTTGTTCCATGACTGTCTGGGAAGCAATCTGCTTTTCCTTCACCAGCTTCTGCCCAGAGTTGATAACTGCTTTAGTCAAAGCATCATGGCTGTTAATCTCATTCTCTAAATTCTGGAAAATACAAAGTAAGATGTGTTTTAAAAGTGTAAGGATTTTCTCCATATATTTCTCTACTTCCTGTTCTCTTCCTTTTTAAATGCTTGCTGGACTTTTCTATGTAACAGACTGCGAGTCTGTCTATGTTTTTATTATTATATTATAGCTATGTGCCCGAAAGGTACAGAGACATTTCCTCTCATTGTGACCAAAGGGTGAAAAATTGGGGGAAAAAATCCATGGTAAAAATAAAAATCACTCCTACCCAGCCTTCTCACCAGGCTGATGTAAGTGAACAAGACCCTAGAAGAGGCGTAGACTCTTCCATGTGACTTCCTCAACTTGTCTGGAAGGTATAGTAAGGAGAATGGCTGACACGTGAAGCAAAGATCTCCTTGCTGTTAAGCTCATGACTTGTTTTAACCACTCTTTCTTTATCCATACTATATCCATAGTAGCCTTGTATTACAGCTAATGCTATGCTATAAATCACTGCTTACAAAACACAAAGCCTGTGCTCACATATTCCTATACTGTATATCTTCATATATGCTGCCAGAAGCTGCCTTATGACTTAGCACGACTTTCTCCCTCCTGTTGCCCTCTGAATGTGTACAGCAGTGTTCTTCAACCTTGGGAACTTTCAGATGTGTGGACTTCAACTCCCAGAATTCCCCAGCCAGCATGAGGTTGAGAAATACTGTTCTAGAAGAAGATATTGTTCATTTAATTCATTTTGCAGCGATGTGGAAGTGTGAAAAACATGCAACTTTCTGAAGAACAGAAAGTGAGCTTGTAGACCTCACGGTGAGCTAGCTGAAATAAATTAAAATAATTTTTAAAAAGCAATGGAAGAAGTGACAAAGAATTTCTCTCGCATTTTTCACTACTCCAGTATTTCCTGCTCTGTCACTTTAGCTACTTTACCTGGTGCTTTTCCTGTAAGCTCTGTATGGTTGCCAGAGATTGGCCATAGTCTCTGGAAGATGCCAGAGGGAGTTTCTCATGAATCCAGGTCAACTCCTCATTGACATCCTGGAGGAACTGGTACTGCAATCTGTTGGCTTCCAAACATTGCCGCCTTTCCTGGAGTGGCTCCCTAAAACTTTTGTATCTGGAGATTCAAAATGAAGCTGTGGGTTTGATTGCTTTTAATTAAGAAAGATTATAGACTAATATGCATTGATTGTTACAATTAAAAACACCAGGCTGATAAAGAGAAAGGAAGGATGATAACAGTATTAAAGGTGAAAATTAGAATACTTAGAAGGGAGAGAAGAGTAGGGAGAAACCGCAGAACCATTTAAGCACCTGTGTACCACCTGGTCCACTCTGATCTCTATCTCATCTGCTAGAAAATGTTTCTCCTGCTGGAGTTCTTGCACTGTGTTGATCAGACTTTGGATCTGGTCCCTGTGGGCAGCAAAGCTGGCTTCCAATTCTTCCTGTTTCTTTAGGAGATCATTCAGAATCAGTAGATTATCACTGCTTTCTGTTGTTTTCATCTCACTGTCTAGATCTTCCAACCATTTATCCACATCGTCTACAATATGTAGAAATTGCACAGCCTGAAGCCAGAGGGAAGAAGTCCATAAAGATCATGACATTTAAACACTGTTGTTGCTGCTGCTGCTGCTACTAGTATCCTTTGTGTCTCTACAACAGCTTTTCACAAGCATACACATAAACACAATACATTTATTTTAGTTTTTTCTTTTCTTTTCATTAATTGGAAATTAGTTAGCCAGCCAGGTCAATTTCTAGAATTACTACAGCTAGCACTAAAGGCTCGGGTTCCTTCCTGTTTTGTTTTACCTTGTAAGCATCCAGAAATTTTCTTTTCTTTTCCTCACAGTTTTCCAGCAACTCATCCCAAAGTTCATCTATTTCCTGGAGTCTAGACTGGAGGACATCAGAAGCATAATGTCCTTCATGGAGCATTTTCTCTCCTTCCTGCAATAAAGACACTCAGTCATCTCTTGATGGTTTAGCTTTCTATATGTTGTCCTTAAACAGCCATACCTTCCAACAATCTTATCATTATAATCCGATTCAAGTTATTTTTTATTTTCGCTTAAGATAAGACTGCAAATCATTTGTTTAACTAAGATGCCTCCAGAATCACCTCTTCAGAAAGCCTCCAGAAGCACCTCTTCAGGAAGTGTCATCCTTTGAAATGTAGTGGGCAGGCTTCAAAAATTATTTGGAATGTGTAGGAACAAGGGTGCAGCACCTCCTTAAAGAAGATGCATCTTTTGTCAGACTTTTGCAGAAGCCTGAATGAAGTGTCTACTTTTATAAATCAACTCATTAAAGCAGCCATATGTGTAATGAAACTCCTTAAAGCAGCCATTTTTTGTGTGCAGAAGACATAGCAGCTTTAAAGAGGTACTATGCTCATACTCATATGTATACTGAAGTACCTCTTCTGAATTTTTTTGAATAATTATAATCCATAATATAATATAATCCAATTAGATATTTACTTACTGTTTTGATTCTGTTGAGATGGTTGCTGTTAGCCACAATCTCTGCCTGGAAAGTCTGGTGCTTTTGCAGTTTAGCCTGAAGATTGCTTGGATCTCTCCAGCTCTCATCAAGGGCAATACTGTTTTTTTCACTCATCCAGGCAGCTATCTTTGGATAGAAAAACACAATTGTCAGATCTTGATCAGATTAAATTCCTAGTAGTTCTATGAACTGGAAAGGTCTCCCATCTGAAACCCTGAAAGAACTGCAGCAAGTCATCCAGGAACCAGGAACAAGCAATTTGATCTCTTCCTATATGCTTTGGCTATGTTGGCTAGGGCTTATGGCATTTGTTGAGTACTGGAGATTTTCAAATGTCTTTTTCTGGCATGAAAATACGTCTGTCTGTCTGTCTCTGTCTGTCTGTCTGTCTGTCTGTCTCTCCTCTATATTTCTACATTACAAAATGTACTTTCTCATAATGTCTCAGGAAATTAAATGCAACATATTATACCTCAAAAGAATCATGCAGAAATTTTTGTAGTAGCCATGACTCCTCCAGCAGACGCCCGCGAACTAAAGTGATTTCCAGAAGTTTTTCCTTTCTAGGAAGAATAAATACTACTGGTGATGTCAGGCAACACAGATTGTTGAACTGTTTTTCATTTCAGAAGTGATTTCAAATATAAGCTAAATCTTCACCAGAGTAGTGGCAGGAAAATGCAAAAAGTATGAGGAATCGAAACAGCAAAAGCCACCGCAGAGGTGTTCCCCAAACAAGCACATCCCATAAATCTTAACCTCTTTCCAAAGTGAGTAGGTGGGTAGACAGTCACTGTATTCTCCCAGGCTTTTATTTGAAACACAGGATAATGTAGTTAATGAGTGGTAGGTAATTAAAAAACCCATTAACAGAGGAGAGAGGGGTGGGGTGGTTAAACCGTATAGGATATTAGAGATGAAACTGGAGAAAATACTTGAACGGTACCTTCTCAAAACAGCCTGGCACTTAGTCATTATATTCTCAGAATCATAATGCTGACTGTCCTTCAGCTGGTGAGCAAAGAAAACTATTGTATCAATCTTCTCCAGATGCGTTTTCAAGTCCTCTTCAAATTGCATGTGCTTTTGCTGCAGACTCTCCACACTGGACACTGAATCCTGAATCAATTGAAACAACTTAATAATATGGAAAGCTACCTTCTTCTAGAACAGATCATTTGTTTATCTAACCTAGTCTTTCCCAAACTCCAGATGAGTAGATTTCAACTTCCAAAATGTCTCAGCCAGCATGGCAATTAATAAGAATTGTGGGACTTGGTTGGCATTTGAAGAATGACCAGGTTGGGAAGAGCTGATCTAATGCAATATGATTACTCCAGCCTTCTCCAACCTAGTCTCCATTAGAAGAGTTATGTTTGTAAACTGTCTAAACCTGTATCAGCCACGAATGCAGAGAACAAGAGAACGGCTTTTAATTTGGGGGTGACTACACTAAACAGGCTTCAAATGGTTTCCATGAAACTTCCCCTTTTGAATATGAAATCAAAGAATATTGAGTTCCTTCCAAAGTACCCTTTGTTTCCTTTCAGGTCTATAGAGCTCAGATATAATCTTTAGAGGACTGCAGTTTTTTCCAAAAATTCTCATACTGCATGTACTTCTGCTTTGCTAGAATATACGCCAGCAAAATCAGGTTGGAGGATGATGCTACAGAGCAGAAGGCAAATCCAATAAACTTGCTAAGAATCCCAAAAGGTACATGATGGAATGAGAGATTCGGTGGGACTTTGGTAGGGAAAAACTGAAAGTAAGTGCTCCAAAATGGGTTTGTTCTGCATTTTTGCTCTATGCTTACATTTTTCACTCTTGGGTGAAAATACTCTATTGCACTTACCCCCAAATCTTTGTTTGTCAGGAAGGCCTCTTTGCTGCTTAGCCAACTTTCACTCTCTTCCACATAACCAAGGAATGTCTGTTTAGGAGAGAAAGAAACTCTGTCACTGCCCAATATTATTATGACATTACAAAGTTCAGTGATTGCATAAATAAATAGATTGCATAAATAAATAGATTGCATAAAGATTGCATAAATAAATAGATTTTATCCACCAAGATTGGTGGCTACCATACTTCCACTGTTCTGTTCTACAGCCATCTAGTAATTATCCATATTTATGCAGGACAGATATGATAGCCATAGACTTCTCTGACATTGTCAGCAGTTCTCTATAGTCTAAGAGAATTACCACTGGCATATTACCCACCACTTTAACCTTTAACCGGAGATGCCAGGGACTGCATCAAGAATTTCTGCATGCATTACGTAGTCTTTCAGTATACTACAGTGTTTCCTGACTTGTGCATCATTTCAAAGAAAATGGGACCCTTAAATATATGCATTCTTCCAAGGTTTTCTCTACACAGGGAGAAAAGACCATGAACATGATTCCTTGACAAAAATTCCAGTTCCTGTTATTTAAAATTCAAGCCCTGCCATGATGCATGTAAGGAGAAACATTCCACCAAACCAAA